TGTTAGAACTGCACCATAGAATTGTCAATGGCTGAGTTTGGGAGTAGATCACCAGGCCTTTCTTCCAAGGTGCCTCTGGATGGACTCAAATCTCTAGCTTTTTTTTTTTTTCCTTCAAGTTTTATTTAATTAATTTTTAAGATGGGATTGGTGGAGAGACTGACAAATCTTTCTTGGCTGCTCTGAAAGCTAGGGATTAGTAGCAATGTTCTAACCTAAAATTTAGGTCTTGTGATTTCTTTCCAGGAGATTTTTCAGTGCATGAAAAACCTGCCTCCAATAGCTGTATTACTCAATTCAATCTTAATTGGATCCAAACCTTCAAAACCTGAGAGATTGTTGGAAGGCTTGAAAGACCACAAGTTTTTTTTTTTTTTTTTTTTAAGTGGTGATATCAACTGTGAAAAAAACATACTTTGCCAAGTCACTGAACCTTTCTGCTGCGGTGTGTATTAGGTTCTCTAGCTTTTCTTTAGCAGAGAAGCACATTGTTTGCATCTCCCAGGGACTGTCCTTCCATTGAATCCTAGATTATTTGAGTAGACATTTTCTACTACAGTGTTATGATGGTCTCCAGAGTCCCTAGGTGATCTTTGCACACTTCTTGGCTTAAATAGCTACCTCAGAACTCATCATACTTTAGGGTTATTTGGTCTGTCTTGCTCCAAATATTTGATGATATTTCTCTTGCTCTTAATGCCCACCCTGTCCTCCACCTGCTCACCAACATCATCTTTCTGCTTCACTTTGTAGAAGAGCTTGGCATTATCTGTAAACCAATAAATGCGTTCAGTTGGATCAAAGCTAGGAGTAGTCCTTGAAATCCTCCTTAACCACCCGCAGATATGTACTCTACTTATTCTCAACACCTTTTTGTTTTGTTTTGTTTTTTTGTTATTCTTCAGTTTTATTTTCTTGAAAACTCATGTCATGGAGTTTCAATACACTCTGTATGCATGACACAATGTCTGGCTTACAGCAGGCACTCACTAATCCTTTGTTTTATTTATTTGGTTCAGTGATATCTCAGAGTTTTAGTAAAGAGCCATTAAGCTTTCAATGAAAGGTGATTTCATTCAGATATAACCAGTCTCATTCACTATAAGCATTCTGTAGAGTCTCCAAAACTTATTTGTAGACATGTGAAGTGGTATATACTTGTTGTGCTTGTGCTGACTTGAACTTCAAAATATTTTTCTACAAGTAGATAGTTTTTGAAAACATTTTAGAAGAATAAAGCAAGGAGAGGGGGCAGTGGTGATTCACTGGTAGAACCCTTCCATGTGGGAGACCTTGGTTCAGTTCCCATCCAATATGTCTCATGTGCAACCACCACCCATCTGTCAGTGGAAGTGTGTTACTATAATGTGGAACAGTTTTCAGTGAAGTTTCCAGGTAAGATGAACAAGGAAGAAAAGCCTGGTAATCGGCTTCAGAAAATCAACCAGTGAAACCCTATGGATCACAGTGGTTTGATCCACAACTGATCATGGGGATTCCTCCAGAACAGGCGGCATTTCATTCTGCTGTGCCTTGGGATCACTGTAAGTCAGAGGCCCACTCAGTGGCAGCTTACAATAACAACAACAAATGCAAGGTAGCAATGCATATTTTGCCATTCAGTGTCTAACCTGTTTCTCTAGAGAGAGTAGAGCAACTCAGATTCATAAAACCATCCAGTCTTGTGTGAACGATCTTTCACCCCAAGAACAGCTTTGTGTTCCTTCACAACCCATGTGCTGTGCTAAGGTTCATCAGAGGCCAAATCTGTGTGTTTGTCCTATGTAGCTTATTAGCCATTTCTGATATTTGATAACTGCCACCTTCTGGAGTAAGCACTTGACTTCTGCTGTCATCTCATTGTCTTATAGAGAATAGTGATTGTAGCTCAGGTTCTAGAGTGAGGTTGACCAGGGCTAAAGTATTGGTTTCACCATTTACTAGATGAGAGGCCCTGGGCAAGGAATTTACTCTTCCCAAACATCCATTCTTCAGAAGGAAGATGAGGCAATCTACTTCCATAGTGATACTGCCTAGGAAACCCAAGGAGGGGTCACTATGAGTTGGGTCCGACTCGACGGCACATAACAAAACAAAACAAAAAAAAATCCATTGCATCACCTGTACAGTGGAGATAAACATAGTGCCTGCTCCTATAATTGGGGTGATGATTACTAAAATGTAGTGGCATAGTGCCTACAGCATTTGACTGCTAACCAGTGGCGGTTCAAACCACCAGCCACTTCTCAGAAGGAAGATTGGGCAATCTACTTCTGTAGTGATACCACTTCAGAAACCCAAGGAGGGCTCGCTATGAGTCACATCTGACTCGACAGCAGTGAGTTGGTTTGTTTGTTCTAGCATTTAGCATGTGCTCAGTAAACATCTATTATTATTGCTATCATTATTCTTTAATACCTTTCCTCTCCTCGGTCTTCTTTTTGGATCATTTTTCCGATATTTATATTGTTAAATATGAGTATCCCATAAGGTTTTCATGGACCCTCATGCTTTTTCAATCAACACACACACTCTGGGCAATCGCTTCTTATCCTGTTGTCTCACTAACTGTGCTAATGACTGTGCTCCTAATCTCTGGGTCTTCTTCAGGTGTCACAGACTTAACATGTCTAGAACTGAACTTGACTTTCCCTAAAACTTTTCCTTTTCTCTTTCACACTGAAAGACATCACCATTTACTTGAGCAAGTTGGAAACTTGGCAAAATTCTCAGCGCATCTCTATTTTTCACCTCCTACCACTTTTCCCAGTCAGTTATTAAGTCCAGTCTGTTCTCTTAATATGTCAGAATCTTACTTCTCTCTGTCCCACTGCCACTTCTCTACAACAGGCCATCATCTTCTCTTGTTGAGTGACTGCATCAACTAATAATTTTCCTGAAGTCTCTTATTTTCTCCTTCTAGTTTGTTTTCCACATGTTGTTGTTAAGTGCCATGGAGTCCATTTTGAGTCATAGTGACCCCATGTGACAGAGTAAAATTGTTCCGTAGGAGTTTCTAGGCTATAATTTTTATGGGAGCAAATTGCCAGGTAGCCAGTGTCATATCTGAAAGAAAATCTGATCACGAATGTTCCATTTCTATAATACTTCTTTCAAGGCCACTCTATTAAGATGAACTTCTTGCAGCTTTTGTTAGCAATTCAAAACAGACACAAAAGACAAAGAGTTAATCAGTATTATGATATAAAAATTATATGAGGCTTACAGTAAATTTCATATACCGATTGTTTTAATATATTTACAAGATTGAAAAATATTCTTTTGGCTTTTGGATTATTCCTGAATAAACTTTTGAATCATTCGCTTAGCTCTTTGGTCAAATTATATTTAAGTAGATATAATGCTGTAACTATATAACTGAACTCAGTTTTCTTTTTTCCTATATAGTTAAGTCAATAATACCTATTCATCTGAAACATATAATTTTATATATCTACAGATTTTTCTTTGTTTTATGACAGAATACAGTGAACCTTACATGTTAAGTCATTAGTACATCTAAAAATGACTGGATTAACCATTTTTGTTACTGTGAGTTTGTTTTTTCCTCAGGTCATCTCTGCCTTAAAAACAAAGTTTTATTGCCTTTTTATATTCTCAGCACTTTTACTTTAACAATATTTTATTCTCCTACAATAAATAAATATTTTTTGAAAAAATGTCATCAAATGTGATTTAAAAATTGTGACTTGGAAATTTGCAAAGTTTTTTAGGTTGACAGCATGATTATTTGTGTTAATATTTTGAAATGATATTGAAGAAACACATGATTGTGCATTTGTTCAACATATTTTGAGCACTTCTTGCTGTGAGGCTCTGTATGGGGTATGAGGCCTATAGAGATTTAAAAGAGATATCATCTTATCTCAAGGATTTCATTTTTTAATGTAGACATGAAATGCCACAAACTTCTCTTTTCTGTTTTCAAAATAACACATCTCTGTAGCCTTCTTCTCATATACTATTTGATTCTAGAATTGTATCTCCTCTGCCTTAACACTGCATGAGTTGGATTAATTCACCTATACAGAAGTGATATTGACTAAAAATGTGAATCCTAGAATCAGAAACATCCAAGTGAAAATCCCAGCTCTGTTAATTAGTTACTAGATGTATCAGTTAACTCTTGCTGTGTAACAAATCATCCTGTCTTAAAACAACATTACATTTTTAATTATTCATTGTATATGATGGTTGGTTGGAGCTTGTCTAAGTTAGGCTAAATTTGGTGGCCCTGTTTCAAGCGGAGTCAACTATAAGGACAGGCTAAATTGGGTGGCCTTGTTTCAAGCTGAGTCAACAAGGGACACTGTTTCTTATTGTAGGTCTGTGGGTCATTTGGGATTTATCTATCACACATGTGGTCATTCTAGGGCTCAGGACAAAGGGACAGCAGCTACCCAGGAGAAACACTCCCCATAGTAGGTTTTCAAGAGGATATCTTGGTTTGGAATTGGCATGGTATCATATTCATTCACATGCTATTAGCCAAAGCAAAACATATGATCCAGTCCAAAGTCAAAGGGTAAGGAAATGTACTTCATGATAGAGTCCATGTGTGGATCTCGAGACAGGTCAAGAATTTGTGTCAGCTGTGTAAATTACCAACTAGCTGTGTGACTTTGGACCAGTCACTCAGCCTTTCTAAACTTTGAATTCCTTATTTGTAAAACAGAAATAAATGATTGAACTTATGTAGTAGAGTTTTTATGAGGATTAAATACAATAAAATATGCAAAGCTCTTAATATAAATGCCTGAACACAGTACACAACATATTTTAGCTATTGAATTGGGTCGAGTCCTAACACAAAGCTCAGGGTTGTTGGGTGACTGCAGATACTGGTCTTATAATCAGAGCTGTGATTCTTGCCCCATAGTAGACTATCAACCCTGTAATGTGTATCTGTCCCCTGCCAAAGGGGTGAATGAGACACTGCAGGGACCTAAATGTAAACCATCTTCTCTTGTTCCCTTTAGGTGTATTTACCGCAGAGTACCAAGGAAGATTACCCATTCTTGTTTATCCAAATACTGGTACTGTGGAAGCTAAGTCATCAATGATTGTCAAAGTCGATTTCTGTGCAGATAAGGCCTGTGTTGTCAACGAGGTGGTCAGGTGAGTGCATATTACATATCATGTTTCTTAATTCTTTTTGTTCACTATTAATATGTGCCTTTTGTCTTTGGTTCTATGTTAGGCACTTTGTTCTTTCATTTAGCATAGATTTATTGAGTTGCTACTATTTGTCAAACACTAGGGACTCAAAAAAGGTAAGTAGAAGAGGATAGGATATAGGTACATATATAAGAATGACTCTTAGTTTGGATGTTGTAGGGGTGAGGAAGTAAACTTGGCAAGGGCTCCACTAAGGAGATGATAATTGAACCAAACACTTATTGGCAAGAAGGATTAACCAGGCAAGGGGGAGTTGTGGTGGTAATAGTGGTAGTGGTTTGTATGTGTGTGTAGTAGGAAGTGAGTGCTGGTAACTGGGGTGAGTTTTAGTGACATTACTGAGTAATATTTGAGAAATAGTTGTGAACCCTGATAGTAGCTTAGGCTATATTGTGAAGATAGTGGAGTCTCAGGATGATTTTGAGGTGGAAGTGTCTTGATTAGTTTGCATTTTAGAAGGGTTGTGCTCATAGTAGTGTGAAAAATATATCAGGAAGTACAAGTGTGGGGTGAGAAGCTTGACTAGAAGATATAATAATAAGCTGCAATAGTAATAGTAAAAAGCAGAAGACAAATGATGAAAGCCTGACCTAAAGCAAAAGTTGAGAGGTTGAATAGAAGTGAGCAAGTTGGATAAAAGTAATAGAAGCAAATTTCACTAGATTTGCTGACTGATAGTAGAAAAGGAAATAAGAAGGATTCCTCTGTGGGAGGAGATGTTCAGTCCAGTTTTGACATGTTGGAATTGATTTACCTTTCAGAATCATGGTAGATCTGGTTAGGGCCAGCAGAAAGACATGGAGGTGGCATCTTCTCACCTCCTTCAGTCTCACTAGGGGGAAACAAGAGTCACCATCAATAGCCCAAAGCTTATTCTTATGAGGCCAGACATACTGCCACCCTCCAACCTTTTTACTAATTCTGACACAAGCCTTCCCTCCCAGGGCACTTACTACTACTGCTCTGCTGGGTTTGATAATTCATTGCATTGGCCACACAGAACTCACATAACTCACTTATGATTATGGGAGTTTATTAGGAAAGTAACAGGCTACAACTCAGGTTCAGGAATGAGCTCAGGACACAGTTCTTTGATCCTGTCAGTCTCCCCTCTGCTGTGCCCTCAGGCACGCCTCTCTTGCCCTTGTCCTCTGGGCCTGGCCTCTGCCCTGCTCTGGGAAATGTTACAAAGCTCTTTCAGCTCTGCAGACAGGTATACCTACATGCACTCCACTCTACCAGCAAGCCCACCCAAGGGCACTCAGCTTTCTCACTCTGTGGGCTGGCAAGGTCGCTGCTCTGTCTCATGCCTCTTGGTTCCACTGCCTCTGTCTCTCAGCCGGCCATCTCTGCCAAGGCATCTCTGCCAAGGAGGTGCAGCACAGGCATCTCAGGTCCAAGGACGTGCTGTACTCTAACACCAGCTCTTCTCTCTTAAGGGCAGTGAGATCCCCTCTCTGCCTCTCAGAGGGCTCATTTTAAGCCCAGCAGCATAGCAAAACTAATAAATGCTCACATTAGAGTTCTACACACTTTATTTGCATGACCCCACCCAGTAATCTGGTGGGAGTTACAAAGACTATGGCTAGAAAAGCCATACCATGTAGTTCACTGCACACAGGGCCCATTTTACATGTCTTCAGCTCCAGAAAGAAATTTGGTCTAGATATTTTGGGTTGGGAGTCATAAAGGTATTAGTGGTAGATGAAGCATGAAAGTGATTGTATCATCTCTCTGAGATGGAGAGTAGAGTGAGGAAAGCAGGTGAAAAACATCAACAGTCATAGAATTTACAGAAGACCTAAATTCTAGAAGAGTGAAAAGGGAGGGCCTGAGTGAGTTAGAAGGAAAACTAGAAAAATAAGAAGTTAAAGAAGCTAAGGGAGGAAAGATGTGAAAGGAGATGGTGTCAATGATTGTAGGTGTGCAGTGGTTAGTTATTTGTGGTATCTGTCAGAGCCAGATTAAAAATGATTGCTTTTATGACAGAGTGGGGTGAATGTAGGGAGACAGTTCCAAGAGAGGATTGGAATGATAGTGGATGGCACACAGCAGCAACTTCGTTAGGAGGAGAATGAGGTTAGTTGTTGGGCCTGGGGTGGGATGAGTTATAAAGAATCTCAAAGTTCTTGAACTAAAAGTAACCATAAAAATCATCTCATCTAACTCTAGCATTTATGTAATAATCGGTGATACAGACATGAGAATGAGTTCTTTTTGGTGTCAATTTGTAAGACTGATTTCAAATACTGTTTTTTTTCTGGGGACAAAGAATTAGATTGCACATGTGCTGTTATATTGTGTGGAATCAGACAGACAAAAGGAAAAGACAGTCTCTGGCATCCAGATGAAGAAAACTGCTCTTACACTGTTGAATTTTAGTTACAGTGAAACCTGTGAGAGATGGAACTGGATGGGACTGCCTTGTTTTTCTGTGTCTCTCAAGTTTTCCGCCCTTGACAGGGTGCAGTCTTACCACTTTTCTATTGCTCTATATTAGTGGGAAATATTTGAGTTTTTCTTCCCTGGCAGGTTTCCACCTTACACGTGTTCTTCCTTCTTCAAGTTTTACCATATAATGTGGTTTTATAATTTGTCTGGTTATCCAGACATTTAGAAGAAAAATAAAGTATATAGATGCCTAATTAAAATATATTTGCATATATACCAATTTCATTATCTTGTAGAGTGAGTTTGCAAGGTCATCCAGATGCTTTTTTAAGTATAAAAGCAAATGTGGTGGAACAGATCATTGAACTATTAAACGCAAATGGTGAGAAAAAGTTGGACTGCGTACGATTTGGTTCTACTTTCTTCGGAACATCGAAAATTGAATATGCAGTGCTATACAATAATAGCCCAGAAACCCTAAACTGGGTGGCAATAATGCAAGATAATTCAGTGGGAGAAGAATTGGTAAGTAAATAGTCTAACAGGAGAAGATCAGAAATTATGATTTGAAACATATTATTTTAAATCTACTAACAGTCCAACTAATAATCCAAGTTAAGAGCTCTGGTGGCATAGTGCCTAAGGCACTTGACTGCTAACCAGAAGGCTGGCAGTTCAAATCCACCAGCCACTCCTCAGAAGGAAGGTTGGGCAATCAACTTCCGTAGTGATACTGCCTGGGAAACCCAAGGAGGGGTCGCTATGGGTCAGGTCTGACTCGAGGGCACATAAGAACAACAACAAAAATAATCAAAGTTAATCTATTCTAAATGTGTTTTAAAATAAGTAGATAGATTTTATTTCCTGGTTCTCCAAGAGTAACCAAAAAAAAATCAAGTAAATTAAAGTAACATTGATAGTAATGTATATCTGAAGTAAAGCAGACAAGTACTTCCTATGGACAGTGGCTAATGGGAATGTCTGTTCTAATTAGTTTTTCAAATAGTTCTTTAAATTTGATAATGTACTTAGGTCACATTTATGTGTAAGTGTTACTTTAAAGAACTATAGATAGTCTTTATTTCCTGGACTCGGAATTTTCAATAACTATAGTTTGACCTCCTCTTAATGCATATTTGTGTTTTGCTGTAATCTTTTTTGATTTCTGGTTTTATATTACAGGGTACAAATATTCAACAAAGGACAGATGTTGCTTTAAACAATCTCACCTATATAAGCAAAATGGAAAAAGTAGACATCACCTCTTTTATTTCCTGTATTCCTAATGAAGGAAATTTATTGCCTTACCAAAAGACTAAAATTACATTTTGTTTTAGTCCAAAGTAAGCAGAAATTAATTCAACTTTCAAACTAATTATTAATAGAAAGCATAGTAACTACACATACATCAAATTAATTTTAACACAATATTAGTAAAACTTGTCAGGGCATAAATAAGATTTATTTGTTTATTGTTATATTTATTTATTGTTATGACTATTTTTATATGGTTAATATTACTTGTAATATTTCTAAGTACTGTTCTAAATATTTTGTGTTACATTAAAAATCTTTCCAGACATCATAGAAATCAGGTGGTGGAAATGGAAGTTTTGAGTTGTGGCCAAAAGCCAGTTTGTGGAGGCAAGACGTGATTCTCCTTGCAGGGATGGTCAGGAGATGGTCAGTGGCATGTTGTATGTTCTAGATGCCTCCAAGGAGGTACAGAGTTCCTACTAGGGCACAGTACTTACTGATTGAATATTAGCTGCTGAGATCAACCACACTTGCTTACTGAAATTCAAATGGGTTTTTAGGACTTACACAAGCATATGTTGTTAACAATTCCATGTACTTGATTGAGTTACATAGTTTGAAAATATATTTGGAAATGCTCTTTTAAAAATATAAGAGAAATTGCTGGTACATCTTGGTAGGTTGCAGTGTTTGCCAATAACAGACCCAATTGCAAATCTGTTTACCTTTAGTTGTGAAATGAATATGTTTAATGTACTTTTTTCTGTGACAACAGGGTCACTTAGTGATATCAATTGCTTGTTGAAGTCTGAGTGGTGTCTTAAATTGAGGATACAAAATTAAGCAATTGTTCTATTTGCACAAATTACAATTGTGCTATTAAAGATATTCTCATAAAAACCATATGTCAAGATGAATTATACTTTTCTACATTCTCAGATACTACTGGGTAGACTTCAGTGAATTTCTAAAATTCTATCTATCTATTTATTTATTTAATTACTTTTGTGATTTGGGTAAAAGTTCTCAGAGCAAATTAGTTTTCCATTAAACAATTTATACACATTTTGTTTCATAACATTAATTGTAATTCCCTCAGTGGAACAGCCCTCTTCCCACTTCCTCCTGGCTTCTGCCTTTCCTGACTTCTGAGCTTTGATTTGGGGCAAATTCTGCCTTTTTGATCTCATACAGTTGATTATTCTGAAGAGTACGTTCCTCCCCAAATGTTACTGTTTACTTTGTAGGCTTGTCCGTTGTTTGGCTGAAAATTGAGCCATGGAGTAAGTTCAGTTTGAGATCTGATGGGTGACCAAGGGCCACAGTCTCCGGGGTTCCACCAGTCTCTGTGCAACCAATAAGCCTGGTCTTTTTTATGATTCTGGCTTTTGTTCCACGTTTTTCTCCCAGTCTGTCCAGGACCTTCTAATGTGATCCCTTTCAGAGCAGTTGGCAGCGGCAGCTGAGCACCATCTAGTTCAGATCTCAGAGTGGTGGAGGCTGTGGTTCATGCAGGTCATTAGTCCTTTGGACTAATTGTTTTCTTGAGTCTTTGATTTTTTCCATTGTTCCTTGATCCAGATGGCAAAAGTCCAGTGGTTGCCTTGCTTGCTTTTAAAATCCCAGTCACTATTAAGCACAGTAATGAGATCTAGCAGCATAGTGTCTAAGGCATTTGACTGCTAACCAGAAGGTTGGTGGTTCAAACCCTCTAGCCGCTCCATGAAAGGAAGATGGGGAAATCTGCTTCCTTAAAGATTTAACACCTCAGAAAGCCAATGGGGGTCACTATGAGTCAGAATCAACTCTATGGCAGTGGGTTTTATTCACCACAGTAGGGTGTAGAACATTTCCTTTGTGAATTATGTTATGCCAATTGACTTAGCTGTCATTGGAGACTGTGGAGACCCAAGCCCAGTGACTCATTCTCACAAGTTTTCGTAAATTTGCCCGTTTGTTCCTATATACATGGATATATTTACAGCACATACAAATAGGTATGTGGAAATAGAAGATTCTGTTTAGTGCACAAGTCTTTGAAGTTCCCAATATTCTTTTCCATGGCAGCAGATTAACTTCATTTGAGAGTTTAGTATACATATTCATGAGTTGAGTATAATTTAAAGTCTTAGTTAAAAGCTTTTTAAACATATTATCAATCATATTGAATGTCAGCCTTTTATAAAGTTATTTAACTATCCACTGGAAACAAAAAGTGACTACTAGGTAAGACACGTAAAGTTCGCCAATGAGCAGGCCTTGTTTATAACCCATCTAGGTCTTTGATCCTACTTCTATTATTTCCATCTTTCCTTTTCTTTTCTCCTTTAAAAAGATTTGTGTGTCAAAATATGGATGTTTACATGTGCTTAGTACACTGGGAAAGAAAGATAGCTGTGTAACAGAAGTTTCTTACTATACCGGAAATAAGAGAGACTATTATAGAGATTTGAACAGAGTCCTTAGACTATGAACTATGCCTGAAAACAAATTCCTTCACAGAGAAAGTAACATTTGAGTTGGACCTTGAGGGAGCATCAGCTCATTTTTCTGAGCTTTACTTTCTATGGCTTTCTTTTGGCAAATCTGTCTGTCTGTGTGGTAACTTTGGAAAATGGGTGGTAGTTGTATTTTATTAACTGTCATCTTTTTGTATAGATTGAAGGATTGGGTTGCTATTATCTTCTGACAGGTGAAAAAAAATGTATCACTTTTGCTATAAAAATAAGTGATTGTAAATTTTTACAGATTAATCTATGATTGCAAAAAGGATGTTGATCCCTCGCATAGACAAGACTATGCTCTCTTTTTGAGATTTGAATCTGTAGGAAGTAAAGATGAATTGATGGAAGATGATGACAATACACTCAGGAAAAGTAAGTGGGAAGTGAACACAAAAATCAAACATATAGCAGTTTAAATTACTTAAAATTTGAACATTAAATTATAGAGGCAATTTAACAAAAATGTGTGATTATTGAATATAATGAAAATGCAAACATATTCAAGAGACCTTAAAATGTCATTTATGGCAGGTTAAGAAAGAAGTCAACCTCAGAATAATTTACATAATGATTTTGCTAGTTAAGATATAGAATTCCTTTTTTCTCTACAACCTGTTCCTCCTGCAGTCTTTCCTGACTCAAGAAATGGCAATTCCATCCTTTCAGTTGCTCGATCCAAAACCTCAGGGTTATCTTTTATCTCTTACTTGTATTTGTATCCTATGTTCTGTCTTTCAGCATGTTTTATTAATTCTACCTAAAAATACATATCTATTCTGACCATTTCTCACCATCTTTCCTCCTGTCATCCTAGTCTAAACTTCCATGTTATTTTTCCTGGATTATTACAGTGGTCTCCTAACTAGTTTATCTGCTTCTGCCCTTGTCCCACTGCAATCTAATCTCAACTCAGCAGTCAGTGATTTTTTAGAATCTAAGTTGGATGATAATCACCCCCCATCCCTGCTACTCCCTCAAAAGCTTCCAGTGGTTTCTCATCTCACTCAAACTTAGAACCTTTTCAATGGACTTCAAGCACCTACAAGATCTGGCCACATGTTACCTCTGAAGTCATTCTTCTACTACCTTCTCTCTAGCATTTGGGTTCCTTAGTGTTTCTTGAACATGTTAAGCAATCCGCTACCTTAGAAATTTTGCACTTGCTGTTTTCTATGACCGGAATATTCTTTTCCTGGATTTTCACATGACTTTGTTCCAGACTCCCTTTATAGGTATGCTCAGGTGTCACCATATCAGAGTGGCCTTTTCAACCTTTCTTGTGTAAAATAGCAACCCCATGAGTTTGCAATCCATCTGTCTTACCCTACTTTACTTTTTCCATAGTACTAATTAACTCTGAAATCCAATACATTTACTTATTTATTTGATTGTTATTGATGTCACCTCACTAGAATGTTGTAAAGTCCATGAGAGCAGGGGCATTGTTTTATTCACTGTTGTATACCCAAGGCCTAGAGGAGTATCTGGCACAAAGAAGGCACTCAATAATAATTGTTGAATGAAAGATTAGATGAGCTACCCAAGTCTCATTAAGTCTTTCAGATGATGATATTTGGTCCAAGAAAATGTATTCTAG